AAAAAAAAAAAAAAAAAAAAAAAAAAAAAAAAAAAAAACGAAGACTATCAAAGCAACCCTGAGCTGGTCCAAGACCACACACTTGACAACCCCTGCCAGGGAATTCACCAGGGCAGGTCAGGATGAGGAAAGAGGTTTATGGCCTCTTTTATGGATCTGAGGCCTAATTCTTAAGACTCCACTAAGATAATAGAAATGTATCAGGCAAATGATACAGAAAGGATGTTTTAGTCTGAATGAATTATCAGTATTCCTTGGAGTCTGAACTACAGGAAGGCTTAAACAATATTACCAATAAGACTTTCTTATACTTCTAGGAAGTATAAGAAAGTGGGTCTGGTGTCCTTTGTGCCAAGTCACAGCTGAATAAATGGAAGACGCTCATGATCTCCATAACTTCTTCAGGGACTCTGGGGCCATTGAGTCTGTCCTGGGAGCTCAGTTCCCACAGCCTTTCCCATCCCACGCTCCTTACAGTCTACACGCTTTCCATACCCACCCAAGGGGAGTTGAGAGAGTTAAAGAAAAACTATTCTGACCTGTGTTAAAATGTAAGACCTAGGCCGGGCACAGTGGCTTACTCCTATAATCCCAGCACTTTGGGAGGCCGAGGCGGGTGGATCACAAGGTTAGGAGTTCAAGACCAGCCTGGCCAACATAGTGAGATCCTATTTCCATTAAAAATACAAAAAATTAGCCAGGCGTGTTGTGGGCGCCTCTAATTCCAGCTGCTCGGGAGACTGAGGCAGTAGGATTGCTTGAACCTAGGAGGCAGAGGTTGCAGTGAGCCGAGATCGCACCACTGCCCTTCAGCCTGGATGACAGTGAGACACTTCCTCTCAAAAATAAAAATAAAAAAAAAGGCCGGGTGCAGTGGCTCATGCCTGTAATCCCGGCACTTTGGAAGGCCGAGGCAGGTGGATCACAAGGTCAAGAGATAGAGACCATTCTGGCCAACATGGTGAAACCCCATCTCTATTAAAAATTACAAAAATTAGCAGGGTGTGGTGGCATGCACCTGTAGTCTCAGCTACTAGGGACGCTGAGGCAAGAGAATTGCTTAAACCCAGGAGGCAGAGATTGCAGTGAGCCAAGATTGCACCACTGTACTGCAGCCTGGTGCCTGGCGACAGAGCAAGACTGTCTCAAAAAATGAATAAATAAATAATTTTAAAAATGTAAGACCTAATTCAAGATTATTACGATTGGGACCATGGCTATTACCATAGGAGAGACTTACTGTGCTCAACACCAAATACAGCAAAGAAAACAGGGAAGGTCCGTGGGATTACTAAGAGAAGACATTGAGGTAGGGGAATTCTTGCTAAAGGCAGGCCAAGGACTTGGACATCAAATGTAGGAATGAGGAACTTGATCAGATATCAAAGTGGGAGGAGTGACTTAGCAGGATCTTTGCTCAGGCTGGCTTAGCCAGGGCTCAAGAACCAGCCAATCAAAAAAAAAAAAGCACAGAATCTCAAGTGTGGTCCCGGAGAGAGCCTTTGTCGGGAGCTCTGGAGCTAGGGGCCATCATCTTCTCTTGCTCCCTCAGGGTCCTTTTGTCCTCTCAACACTTAAACTGAATTCCTACACATACCCCGTCCACTACAAAGGTTGTACTCAGTGTCACTGAGATCGATGTCAGCTTTGAAGTTAGAACAAAAGCAACTGAGCCCCAAATCTGTAAGAGATGTGAAATGGAAGAATCAAGGACCCAGAATTCTAGGCAAGCTGAAATTTAGTTCCTACCTTTTTCTCCCAGGGAAAACCATCAACATGAAGAAAGCCTAAATCCCTAATGAAAGTCAGTATCTAAAGAGAAACTGTGTGCAACCTAAGACCCAAGCTCGATAGGGCAACCAGGAAGAAGGGATGTCATTGGCTTGGGTCCCCATCAGTATTTTTTGTGTTTGTTTTTCTGAGACAGGGTCTCACTCCGTTGACCAGGCTGGAGTACAGTGCTGTGATCATAGCTCACTGCGGTCTTGAACTCTTGGGCTCAAGTGATCCTCCCACCTTAGCCTCCCAAGTAGCTGGGGCTGCAGGTGTTTGCCACCATTACAAGCTTTTTTTTTTTTTTTTTTGGTAGAAACGGGGTCTCACTGTATGAGCCCAGGCTGGTCTCATACTCCTGGCCCCAGGAGATCCTCCAACCTCAGTCTCCCAAAGTGCTGCGATCACGGGCCTGAGTCACTGCCATGCCCTGCCCCACCAGTCTTCATAAAGCAGCACACCAGGAAAGGAAAAGCCAAAGGCAACAATGGAACCAGGTATAGCACCTAGCACAAGGCCTGGCACAGTGCAGCTGCTCAATTAGTATTTATTAAATAAATGAACTTGAAAGTCCACTGTTAGCCCTAAAAAGCTACACTCTGAAGATGGAGGGGCTGACACATGCTACACCATGGAAGAACCTTGAAAACATTATGCTAAGTAAAAAAAAAATGCTAGACACGGCCAGATGCGGTCGCTCATGCCTGTCGTTCCAGCACTTTGGGAGGCCAAGGAGGGCGGATCACAAGGTCAGGAGATTGAGACCATCCTGGCCAACATGCTGAAACCCCATCTCTACTAAAAATACAAAAATGAGCTCGGTGTGGTGGCATGTGCCTGTAATTCCGGCTACTCGGGAAGCTGAGGCAGGAGAATCACTTGAACCAGGGAGGTGGAGGTTGCAGTAAGCTGAGATTGTACCACTGCACTGCAGCCTGGGCAACAGAGCCAGACACAAAAGGGCAAAAACTATATAATTCCACTTATGTGAAGTACCTAGAATGGACAAATTCATAGAGACAGAAAGTAGCTAGTAGTTGCCAGGGGCTGAAGGACAAGACGAATGGGAATTACGGTTTAATGGGAAGAGTTTCAGTTTGGGATAACTGGAAAGTTCTGGATGGATGATGGGATGGCATAACATTGTGAATGTACTTCATGCCACTGAACTGTACTCTTAAAAATGATCAAAATGGTAATTTTATGTATAATTTTTTTTTTTTTAGATAGAGTTTCATTCTTGTTGCCCAGGCTGGAGTGCAATGGCATGATCTCGGCTCACCACAACCTCTGCCTCCCAGGTTCAAGCGATTCTCCTGCCTCAGCCTCCCAAGTAGCTGGGATTACAGACATGCACCACCAGGCCTGACTAATTTTTTGTATTTTTAGTAGAGACAGGGTTTCTCCATGTTGGTCAGGCTGGTCTCAAACCAACCTCAGGTGATCCTTCTGCCTTGGCCTCCCAAAGTGCTGGGATTACAGGCGTGAACCACCACCCCCGGGCAGTTTTATGTGTAATTTAACACAATAAAAAACTGTTAAATGATGTTGGGAGCACTCTGCTCAGGATGGATTTTTTTTAATATTATTATTTTTAGAGATGGGGTCTCCCCATGTGGACCAGGCTGATCTCAAATTCCTGGGCTCAAGCAATCCTCCCACCTCAGCCTCCCAAAGTGCTGGGATTTCAGGTCCAAGCCACCACGGCTGGCCTCAGGATGGATTTTTAAAAAGACAAAGGGGTACAATGCCATGACTTGCTGTGTTTGAGGGCAGCAGAAACCAGAGAAACGGTGCTCCCAGATCAGGCTTAGAAAAATAAACACAACCCAACTTGCTTCAGACCAAAGAGATTTTAATGGCTCCTGTTTATTCACCAGGGGCCTAATAGGGGTGGTCTCGCACATGCTCCATGATTGACTTCAAGCCAAGCCAGGTCTCCTCGGCCGTGGGCAGGATCTGATTGGCTGGCAAGAGGAAGCCGTGGCGCCCTGTGTCTCTCAGTTCAAAGGCAAATGAGTACTTGATGCCATAATCATAGGACCAGTCAATGCTTCCTCCACTGGCTTGGTCTGAAGGGCAAATGAAAATCAAGTTTGGTTACGCAACTCCCACTAGCCTTCACAGCAATGGAACCTCTATAATAAATTCTACTACCATAGGTAAGCCAGGCCCCTAGGTGTGAACTATAAGAGAGGGGAGAGTTTAGCAGAGGGTCACGTTTATGAAAAAATACAAGAATAGTTTGAAAAGCAAAAGGTGTTATTCAGCAGACACTGAACTGAGCCTTCCTTTGGTGCTCTTAGGAGCCTCTGGCTTTACCCACACCACCCTACGTGGCAACTTCTCTACCATATGTAGGCGACACCACTTCCTTCTTTAGAAGACACAGACACGGTTTGCCCTAGTGGGAGTGGAGGGATTACAAATGCAGTAAGAGATTCGGTCCCTACCCTGAGGGCACCTTCAGCATTAAGGGTGGAGCAGGGTCTGCTGTGCGTGGTGGGTTCGGACAACACAGTAATGTGCACCTGAGATCCGTGTGGCCGCTGATGTGACAGATGACGAAGGAAGATGGCATTAGCCTATACGTCAGTCATGACTCACAAGAGACAAGCAATGGACTGCCCCTGAGGCCCCTCCCAGGAAGG